TTTTTCTTAGTAGTCTCTTATTTATGATCCTTTGTATTTCTGTGGTATCAGTTGTTATGTCTCCTTTTTCATTTCTGATTTTATTTATTTCAGTCTTTTTTTTCTTCAGTTTAATCAAAGATTTATCTATTTTGTTTATCTTTTTGAAAAACCAAACCTTTGTTTCATTGATATTTTTAATTATTTTTTTAATCTCTAATTCATTTATTTCTGCTCTGATCTTTATTATTTCTCTCTTTCTACTGCTTTGGGATTTGGTTTGTTCTTTCTAGTTTCTTGAGGTAATGTTAGGTTGTTTATTTGATAAATGTTGAGCATTTATTGCCGTAAACTTCCCTCTTAGAACTGCTTTTGCTGTATCCCATAGGCTCTGGTATATTGTATTTTCACTTTGTCTCCAGGACTTTTTTAGTTTCCTTTTTGATTTCTTCTTTGATCCATTCATTGTTTGAGAGCATGTTGTTTAGTGCTTGCTTCAACAGCACATATACTAAAATTGGAAGGAGCATGTGTAATTCCATGTATTTGCATAGTTTCTGGTATTCCTTTTGTTGTTCGTTTCTAGTTTTATCCCATAGTGGTCAGACAAGATATCTGATATGTTTTCAGTTTTTTTTTAATTTGTTGAGAGTTGTTTTGTGACCTAACATATGGTCTGTTCTAGAGAATGTTTCATGTGCTGCTGAGAAGAATGTGTATTCTACAGCTGCTAGATGAAATTTTCTACATATGTCTGTTAGGTCCAATCAGCCTAGAGTGGAGATTAATTCTGATGTTTCCTGGTTAATTTTCCATCGGGATGATCTGTCTGCTGCTGAAAGTGAGGTGTTAAAGTTCTCAACTATTACTAGGTTGGAGTCTATTTCTCCCATCAGGTCTAATAGTAATTGCTTTATATAACTGGCTGCTCTGGAGTTGGATGTGTATATATTTGGAATTGTTATTCCTTTTGTTGAATTGACCCCTTTATCATTGTATAATCCTTATCTTTTTTTTTTCCCCTTGGCTTAAAGCCTATTTTATCTGACATACATACAATTACTCCTGTTCTTTTTTGGTTTCTATTTGCGTGAAATAAGTTTTTCCATCCATTCACTTTGAGTTGGTGTGTGTCTTTATAGGTGAAGTGAGTTTCTTGTAGGCAGCATATTGTTGGTTCTTGTTTTATAATCCATTAAGCCACTCTTTTCCTTTTTCCTGATTTTACTGTCTTTCTTTGTGATTGAATGGTTTTCTCTAGCAGTGTATTTTGTTTTCTCACTGTTTATTTTTAGTCTTATAAGTTTTTGTGTTGTGGTTACCATGAGGCTTAGAAAAAAACATGTTAATAGTGATAACAGATTATTTTAGACTAATAACAACTCAACTTTATCTAAGAAAAAAAAATCCAAAGCCAACTCTATGCTTTGGCGTCATTCCCTTCCACTTTTTGACATGTTGTTCCCAGTTACATCTTTTAATATTGCCTTTTATATGTTGTTGTTGTACATGTTATTATCTTGTTAGTTTTGTCCTTTAGTCTTCATACTAAGGATGTAAGCAGTTTATTAACCACCCTTATGACATTGGAGTATTCTGAGGTTGTCTGTGAACTTACTTTACTAATGAGTTATGTACCTTCAAATGTTTTCTTGCTGCTCCTTAGCATCTTCTCTCAGGCTGAAGAACTCCTTTTAGCATTTCTTGTAATGAAGGTCTGGTGCTGATGAATTCCCTTAGCTTTTGTTTGTCTGGGAAAGACTTTATTTCTCCTTCATATTTGAAGGTTAGTTTTGCTGCCTACAGAATTCTTGCCTGACAGTTTTTTTCCTTCAGCACTCTGAATATATCATCCCATTCTCCTCTGGCCCATAGGGTGTCTACTGAGAAATCTGCTGAGAGACGTATTGGGGCTCTGTTGAGTGTTGTGTTTTTCTTTTCTCTTGCTACTTTCAGTATTCTTTCTTTGTGTTTGGTTATTGATAATTTGGTTATGATATGCCTTGAGGTGTTCCTCCTTGGCTTGAGTTGGATTAGTGACCTTTGAGCTTCTTTTAATTGATTCAACTCCTTTGTCAAGTTTCTTGTTCTGCTCCTGGATTGTTTTCCAGATATCATTTTTCTATCTGTATTTTCTTGTGACTTACTGAACATCCCTAAGAGGGTTATTCTGAATTCTCTTTCAGATGTTTCACACATCTGTTCCTCTGGGTCCATTGCTGGTGCTTTGCGTGTTTCCTTTGTTGTTGTCATGTGTTTCTGTTCTTTCTTGATCTTTGTGTCTTTATGTTGATGCCTGGGGCATTTGAGGAGACTGCTACCTCTTCTACGTTTTATAGGTGTTCTTTGGCGATGTTGGACCTTTACTGGTTAATACCTGAGCTTTCTCTTTGATCTGTGGTGGGCTTTTTTTTTCTTTTTTCTTTTTCTAGTTCCATGGTGGATTATTAGCTAACACCACCAGTTAAACTCTCCACTGGAATTAATTTGTTGTCTTTTGATTAATTTCCAAATTGAGGGACCTTCCTGTGGGGACCAGTACTTTAGCCCTGTGGTTGACCTAAATTGCTGCTTTGCTGCTCATTCTCTGGGGAAGGCTCTATGTGCTCCTCAGATTTTAATTGTTGGCCTTTGAATCACTTTTGGGTCTTATGAGGTCAGGTGCACTGAGCTGTTTGAAAATTCTGGCCCGGGACTGAGTCTTTCCAGCAAACCCTGCCCCCTGCAGTTCTCTCACACTGTCCAGTCTCCACTGGGCCTGTGCTGAGCAGAAGGCAGATGAGCTGTCCGTGCTGCACCCTGATATTCCTCCGGTGGGCCAGTCTCCCTGCCACACTCCAAACACTTCCTGTGGTACAGGCTGTGTGTGGGTCCCTCACTATGACTCACTAGCTTCTGGGTGGCTCCTTTCTTTGGTTGGCTGTGGCCCCTCACTCTTATGTGGATCCACAGGAACGCTGTCCGTGGTCTCGCAGGTCTGAGGGCTGGTAGGGTGCACTCTGAGGCCCTTCTCCCTTGCGGACTCCAAGCAGCTTTATGCAAAGGGCTCAGCTGTGGCTTTTGCTCCTGCTTATGTGTTGCAGCTTCTTCCCACCCCTCTCTGGGCCCGCCCTGACGTGGCCAGGGCTCAAAGGGGTCCGATTGGTCCCTTCTCCCTCTCACCACGGCTTCTTTCACCTTAATGAATATTGTGGATCTCTCCCTCTTCCTCCAGCTCCAGGGTCCCAGGTTGGCAGTCTTTGCTTTTTAATAGTTGTAAGTTGATTGATCGTGGGGGAGAGTGACGCTGGGGACTGTCTGTTCTACCATCTTGATGGCATCACCCCCATCTTATTACCTTTGAACTAGTTGTTTACCTTTAGTCTTGTTGCTTCTGGTAATCCTATATAAAACCTCATGGAATATAGAAGTAAACAGTGCAAAAAGTTTGAATGTCTAGGATGAAAGATTTGAGAATTAGTCCTCTAGTTCAGTGATTCTTAAACTTCTTAATAATTATTAACATCAAATAAGTCAGTTTTTTTTTTTTTCCTTTTTGTCTTTTTTACTGGCCGGTAACGGGATCGCAACCCTCGGTGTCGCACCCGTACCGGGGACCGGCAACGGGATCGCAACCCTCAGTGTTCCACCCACGCCGCGCTCAACCAGTGAGTGGGAACCGGTCACCACATGGGATCCGAACCCTTGGCGGGAGCGCCGCCGCACTCTCAAGCGGCGCACTATCCAGTGCGCCACCGGGCCGGCCCCAAATAAGTCAGTTTTGATTGACAATTAAGAATGAAGGAATGAACTCAAGGGAGTAGTTACAAAATTATGTACATTTTATGATTTCTTACTTTTCAAGCAAAGCTGCAAACTTCTTTGGAAAGAATGGAGTTAAATGGCCAAAAAAAAAAAGGTTTTCCTCACCCTCCCCAAAGAAATGAGAAAGTTGTGGAAGGGTGCACTAGAAGAATGATTGAGTTCTAAAAAGATAGAGATGTTGAAAAGGAGAGAAGTCTGATGCCCCATACTAAGTTGTCTAAGCAGTGTGGTAATGGAATATAGAGCAAAGGTTCTGAAGTCAGATGGACCTAACTTCAAATAGACTTGGATTATATTAGCTCTGTACCTTGGACAAGCTGTTTATTCCCTTTGAACTTCAGTTTCTTCATCTGTAAAATGGGAATATAGGACATACATTGTAGAGCTGTTAGGAAGATTCAATAATTGATAGGCATATAGCGTAGAGCTTGACCCACAGTGGCCTCTGTAAATGTGAGTTCCTTCCCTTCACATCTGCTTTAGGAAGTGATTCACAGCTGCTTTAGCAAGTGATTCTTACTTCTCTGGATCTTTGGCCGGCATTAAGTTCATTAATTCAAATAGCTTGACTTTGAGGTGGCACTCACTACTTTGATAGCTTGTGTTAGTGAAACAAAAATGATTTCTAATTTTTTAAATTATTGCTAAGATTAATAGGCTTGGCAGAAGGACTTTCGTGCATATAGAAAACATTGTATCTGAATTTTTCCTATGATCATTACACATACCCTCCCCTCTTCTTTTTTTCTTTTATTTAAAATGACTCTGAAATATGGAGTGGGAAGTAAATGATGCCGCTGGTTTTCACTTATGTGAAAAATTGTTCCCAGGAATTGAAAAATAGGGTTTTCACAGTTGAAATCACTGCTTTTAAGGAGATTATGGTTGTAGCAGACTGCAAGAGAATAATGATGATAATGGTGATAATAACGTTACTGTGTGCTGGTTCATTCTGGTTCATTCACGTCAGGTGTAGGTACTATTATTATCTTCATTTTGCAGATAAAGAAACTGAAGCACAGAGCGGTTAATAGCATTCCTGTTTCCCTAGTTAGGAAGTAGCAGAGCCGGGATTTGAACTCAATCTGGCTCCACAGCCTGCACTCTTAACCACTGTCTCATCCTGAGAGGACTAAGACAAGTCAGTTCTCTGAGTGAGAATAAATGTCCTAAAACTGTGGCATGGCAGGTCTGTCATTTTTAGATTTGCTCTCCAGGTATTCTGAGAGAAGCCTCACAAAATGTATTGGAATTACCATCGAGACCAGACCAGATTACTGTATGAAGCGACATTTAAGTGACATGTTGACTTATGGCTGCACAAGGCTGGAGATTGGGGTGCAGAGTGTCTACGAAGATGTGGCCAGAGATACCAACAGGTAAGATGTTGGCAAACGATCTTATGCAAGCTTTCCTCTGTCCCCGCTGATCTTTTCTGCATTCACTCCCATCCTTTCTTCCTTCCTACTAATTGTACAGAAAAAGTATGGTTATTCCTCCTTTTCAAAGTCCTTTCATCTGTCTGTGCTCTTAATTTCATCCCTTCTTTCCTTCATTTTCGGTCTTTCTGTACTGACTCTTTTCCAGTAGCCTATAAACATGCTAATATCTCTCCCTGTTCCTGTCATAAACAGCCTTTCCCATGTAGAAAACAGGAGGCAGGATTCAAGGTCAGTAGTTTAAAGCAGTGGAGAAGGCCAAGGAAAATGGAGCAAAGAAAGGGGTTTGAGTAAGAAGGAAGTCAGAGTGTGATTTGAGAGATTAGTTTTTGTGAAGTGGGTATGAGTTGGCAGGGAAGTCAGGAAAAGTTGGTGAGGCCCTGGGGAATTTGGCAGTGTAAGGAAGAAGAGAAGTAAAGGTCAGTAGAGCTGTATGAAGTTTTCTTCCCTCTAAAAGTACAAGGGAACTTCAAGAAGTTTGTGCAAAAATGGAATTAAGAGGTAATGAGAATATTTCCGAGAACTTTTTGAAGACCCCTTGTGTACCATTGAGTTGAACCGAGAAGATACCTATGAAAGCATGAAAGGTTAAATGTGTAAAGAACTTCATAATTAATTGGTAAATTAATGTGGGGATGAGTGGGCACAGGCATCTGTAGTTCATTAGGCAGCAGACATCAATGACCTAGAATGATAAAGGCAGGCTTCAGGAGGCAGGTATGTGTTGAGCTGGACCTTAAAGGTTACTTTCTTTAGTTGGATTTGGTAGATGTGATTGGGGGTTATGCTAGGAGAAGGCAGTGAAGGAGAGATAGGGAAAGAGACACTGGTCAATGTGTTAGAAACAACCAAGAAGAGTACCAGGCTAAGGAGGGTGGAGTTTTCCCTTTAGGTAATAGAGAGCTATTGAATGTTTGTGATTACAGGGAAGAATCTAGAAAGAGTAATGTGCGCAGACGGCAGTAATACTTGAACTAGGTTGGAATGTGGCAGTCATCAAGGGCTGTACTTGTGGAGATGGAAAAAGTGTTTCTTAAAGGTCAGGGGAGTTTCCTGAAGAAAATGACATCTCAGCTGAGACTTGAAGGAAGAGAGTTAGTTAGTCAGGGGCAGAAGAGGAAGGTTATTTCAGGCAGAAAGAAAATATGAGCAAACTCCTGAGGATGGGAGTGCATGCCACATTTAGGGAACTCAAAGAGGGTTAGTTTGGTTAGAGAGTGAGTCAGGAGCGTAAGAGGTGAGGCTGAAAGCAAGCAGAGGGGACTTCACAGTCAGCCCGGAAGCCTGAGTTTTAATCTAGAACAGTAGCGAGCCATAGACAGGCTGAAGTGAACTTGTGATAGGAGCATGTCTGCATTTTAGAAAGATCACTTGAGCTGCAGTGCAGGGGGTAGGTTAGAGCAGAGCAAGCTGGGAAGGAGACCGGTTAAGAGGCGACTGCAGGGCCGGCCCGGTGGCGCACTGC